GAGAGAGAGAGAGAAATGTACTGTAACTTGACAGAGTGTATGCTAACTAAGTGGTACACGACACACTCTGTGGTGATTTTATACTGTTATGAACATTATACTTGTTTCGAATACTAATGGTCTATTATGATATTAAAATTAAGCATAATATTTTGTGACTATATTACTGTTTATTGATATGATGGGCTATACTTTTATTGATATGTAGTGTCATGTTATGAAAGGGGGATGATTGTAAAAGATTTTTCATAAACTGAAATTGATTATTTACATCATCTGGTGGTGCAAGTGTGATGCAATAATAAATGAAAAAGTTTCATTTATTTATTAACATTTATGTCTTAAAATAAACTCTGCCATGGCCAGTCTCAAGCTGGTCATGCTGGTCCCAAGCCTGGGTAAAGGAGGAGGGTTGTGTTAGATAGCGCAGCCAGCTTAAAACTTTGCCACATCTTTTCATGAATCATCTTGAACCTATGAAGTTATTTGTCAAAAAAAAAAAAAAAAAAAAGGAAGACAGATTAAATAGGTCTTTCTTTGTAACTGAAAACAGTCTTCATCATTAAACCTTGGACTATATGTGATTTATAAGGAATTTTCCTACTAGTCGGTGGCATTGGTACAAGGAATGGGTGTGTGATTAATTGGAAATGTGCTACAATCCAATTGGAAATGTTCTGATTAATTGGAATGTGCTATAATCCAATGAGTTTGTCACTCTCCATTTAACTGGAAGGTGATGACCTTAGTGGACAAGGGTAGTTAAACTGTAGAATTCAAAGTTGGTATTAGTACATACCATGGTCCATTGGATTAATTTATACTTATAATGTGCACCTAAAGTATTAAATTTATTTAAACATCATATCTGATTAACCTTCTATTGCAGAGTCTTCAGTAGCAAGCATTATAGGAATATGCTATGGACGCAATGGAGACGACCTCCCAACACCTGATAAAGCAGTTCAATTGATTCAAGGACACTCCATTAAATACGTTAGAATCTATGACTCCAATATCCAGGTCCTCAAGGCCTTTGCCAACACGGGCATTGAGCTCATGATAGGAATCCCAAATGCCGACTTACTTGCCTTCTCTCAATACCAATCAAATGCTGATACTTGGGTAAAGAACAACATCCTGCCTTACTACCCTTCCACAAAGATCACCTACATAACAGTAGGTGCAGAGGTCACTGAGAGCCCTGTAAATGTCTCTTCCCTTGTGGTACCAGCCATGACAAATGTTCATAATGCTCTTAGGAAAGCAGGCCTTAATAAAAGGATCAAAATCTCAACAACCCATTCTCTCGGAGTTCTGTCCCGTTCCTTTCCCCCTTCTGCTGGTGCCTTTGATCCCAAATTTGCCTCCTTTATAAAACCCTTGTTAGAATTCCTTGTCGAAAACCAGTCCCCATTCATGGTTGACTTATACCCCTACTATGCGTACAAGGACTCCCCCACCAATGTCACTTTAGACTATGCTCTATTCAATTCTACCTCTTCAGCTGTCATAGACCAGAATACTGGATTAATATACACCAACATGTTTGATGCTCAAATTGATGCTCTCTATTTTGCACTAACCGCTGTAAATTTCAACACTATACGTGTAATGGTTACTGAATCAGGGTGGCCAAATAAGGGTTCTTCAAAAGAAACAGCTGCCACCCCAGATAACGCCCAGACATATAATACAAATCTTATACGCCATGTGATCAATGATACAGGCACGCCACTAAAGCCTGGGGAAGAGATAGATGTGTATATTTTTTCTCTCTTCAATGAAAATAGAAAGCCTGGTTTGGACTCTGAGAGGAATTGGGGGGTGTTCTATCCTGGCCAGACCAGTGTCTATAATCTTGATTTTTCGGGGAGAGAGGGTGGTTTGGTGGTGAATGTGAGTGCTGGTGGTGGGAATGGCTCGTGGTGCATTGCTTCGCCAAATGCTTCAGAGAGAGATTTGAAGAATGCATTGGATTGGGCTTGTGGGTCGGGCAATGTGGATTGCTCGGCAATTCAGCCGAGTCAAGCTTGTTTCCAACCTGATACATTGGCATCTCATGCTTCCTATGCGTTCAATAGTTATTACCAGCAAAATGGGGCATCAACCATTGCTTGTGATTTTGGTGGTACCGGGATGATAACAACTAAGAACCCAAGTAAGACGCGCGCACACACACACACACTCTCTCTGTCTCTCTCTCTCTCTCTCTACTAATATATATATATATATATATATATATATATATATA